TGATAAGCTTGAAAACAATTAGTTATACATAATCCAACATTACATCCTTCACACTGATATCTTGTGTATTTGATTGATTTTTCACGTTGTATTGTATGATAGCATACATGATACTTCCTTTGGGCAGCTGTTTTTGAGACTTTTCTTGCGATAAAGTCTGAATACTTCTCCCTTGTCTTCTCATTCACATTGGCGAAAGTTGAATTGGCGAACTGCGACAAATCCTGTTTTTGCATGACAGGAAAAAACACACTTTCTTTTATATTATTCGTCAATATTGATGATGACTGTATAATCTAAAATTATCTTCTAATCAATATGTAACGCTAAAGATAATCTTCATTGAAAAGATATTTTTCAATAGCAGAAAACGATATTCCCCATTCAGATTTTGTATTGTAACTATCTTTTCGTTCTATAGGGTCATGGTGGAACCTAAAATTACCCAATTAGCTTCAATTATTTATTGATGATAAAGACTGATTTATTTTTGTTTTATTCATTTTGATAATGTGATAGTTGAATTAGAATAATGCAGAGTTCAAACAAGATCACATAGATAGAAACACGAACTGCCACCAGAAATTGTTATAATTACTGGTGGATCTGTTTGTTTATAACTGTTGCTCTAGAGTTTTTTCATTTATATATCTATTAGCACATTCACTGAAAAAATCAATATTAAATAATAAATCTTTTTATCAACCTCGTTCCGATTTTTGCTAATGTGAAAAAAACGAAAAATAATATTGTTTTAAAGTCAAAATAATCTCTACGAAAAAGCTGCCTTGTTACTAGCTAAAATCATTTTTATTTATACTTCAGGCTATATTGTAATACCTTTTTGCTTTCCATTTTTGATTATTCATATAAAAATATATATATGCATAGTAGTGGTATCTGTAAGTATTTGTGTTTACAACAGACATTACGGAATAATATATATTCGAAATCAGCGCTATCAATTAACTATATTTCATCTCTTTGCATGAACATGCTAAGATTTTAAGGCAAATCCTAGTGTTGCGTAAAATCTTTTCATAAGGAAAACTCATAGAGTGATTCCAAGAGCTCTATTAGATAAATCATAGCCGAAAACCTGCAAAGAACTGAATAAAAAGCTGATGCTAGGGCTGGGCAACTCCAACTCCGGAGTTGAGGTTTTTTTTGGTCGAGTTGCAGTTGGAGATGGAGTTGAAATTTTAGTAGGCTGGAGTTGGGTTTTTGAACTTTTATTCTCAACTCCGTTTTACATTTTTGGAAATATTTAATAGCTGTAAACTGATCTTCTAAACGATAGAGTGGCTGTATTCACGAGTGAATTCGAAAGTTCTTTGCACTTTTGTGCCGGAAAAAACTCAAAAACGTCCCGAATCCTGCTAAAAACCGAAAAATCTTCCTTACAAAAGTGAGGCAACCGGGGTTGAACTGCAGTTGAGATTTTTGTTGAGAGAGTTGGAGTTGGAAATTTGAAAACGGAGTTGAGTTGGAGTTGAAAGTTAGCAGAGTTGCTCAGACCTGACATCAGCTGATGTCTGCCAGCTCTAGTCAGAAATGTCCACTGTGGCCTAGGAATATCATGTTCACCTGAGAATTGGCTGAAATACTCTAAAATGTCTCTGAACTATTCATACAAAGTTTGAAGGCTAACTATTGTATGATTAGAGAAATTCGTTGATAATGAGCACCCACTAGTGAAACACACGAAGGTAGACGAATGTTTTTCATGAGCTACTATCACTATTTTATCGAATATCAGTTTTTTTTCTCATTCTTGTGCGAACCATACCAAATATTTAGTTTTCTCCTCTTTTAAAGTTTCTGTGATGCAGAGCTTATCTTTTGTTGTTTCATTCCGTTCTATTTAAATCGAGGAGTAACAGAGCTAACAAATTTTTCTAACAAACAAATTTTTCACAACTGTAATAGAAAGTTTAAAGCTTAATACACATATTAGAGAAGAAATTTTTCTTGACAAGAATGGATGATAGTAACATTGATGCTGGGTAAGAATTTAATTTTTTTTTGTTTTTTTCTAGTAGTACATATGAAGTGTCTTGTGTACAAGTATGATTCTTGTCAAGATTAAAATGTCTGATCCTCTCTTTAAGAGTAGAATTTCCGTTCCTCTCACTAAAATCGTCGTGTAAATTGGTTTTATTTTCGCTGATGACATTTCAAATCGAAGTGGCCAAGTGGGCCTTACGAGCAAAGACGATGGTGAAGTATTTTCTTCATTTGGTTGTTATTCAACTCGTCTAAATCAACTTCTTTTAGTAATTGATCTAGTAAATTGAAAATAAACATTGCTTATACCAAAAATTCAAAAACTAACGTTTCGGAATTGTTTGACCTTGAATGATGTACCGAAGTACTAAGTTCAAAAACGAATTCTTCTCTGCGAAGGTTGTACCTTTCAGAAAAATGTTAAGTTTTAGTACAACATAGGGTATGGAATGGGGATGAAAAAGATTATTATCAATTATTGGATATAAATCCCAATACAACTCAAACAGTGATTCGAAATGCGTATTTACGTCAAGCACGAGAATTTCATCCAGATAAAAATGTTGGTCGTAGTATTGATACAACAGCTATATTTAAAGCGATAAAAGCTGCCTATGAGACATTGTCAAATGACATAACAAAAATGAGTTACGATGAAAATCGAAATGCTGATCGCGACGATGATAATGACGATGATGATATTCCATTTACATCATCAAATACACATTTAACATTACATATGGGACGAAAGCCATCGGATGATTTCAAAGATCAAATTGATGAATATATTTTAAAATATAAAAACTTAACATTTATCGATAATTATAATGAAAAAATTAATGAAATACTAAAAGAATTCATGTATTCTAATGATACAATAATGGATATTGATAATTATATTGAATGTGAAATATGTCATCAGGCATGGTTGAACAGAAATAATCATCAACAACAAAATGTTGAGCCGTACGAACGGTTGTTTAATAAAACAATGGCAATACCATCATCATTGACTTTACAACAAATTATTGATCCAAATATATGGAATTGGCATTCGGTGAATATAACATCAATTTATTCATCATTGTGGAATAAGCATCAACAATGGAATAATATTAAAAAATTATTCAACAAGTAAAAGAACCGATTAATATTATTGAACAATCCAATGAAAACCAACAATGGTCACTACTTATTGAGAAATACAACGCCAGTAAAAAAGAAATTGAAATGTGGGGTCAACTGCACTGCTCACGATGCTTAGTATTAGAAAAGATTCCACATTTAGGATATATAACAAAAGCCGTTCAGATAGGTCAGAAATGTTCAGTTGAGAAACAACAATTAGTTTATAAACATCTAATGGCATATGTTAAACAGTTAATTGAAATAAATAAAATAGAGTATTTAAATGTATACTTAGATCTCATTTATCAGTATAAGCCAAGTGGGAATGAATTATTCTATCGTCAAACAGGTGATCATTATTATCGACTAAAACAGTACTCATTAGCTCTTCAGTGTTATACCTATTCGAAAATGGATAGTAATAAATGGTTTGAATATGCCATTGATTTGTGTTCTAAAA